CAGTGTTACAGGTTGAAGGTTTAGTGTTAAAGGTTGAAGGTTTAGTGTTAAAGGTTGAAGGTTTAGTGCTAAAGGTTTAGGGTGTAGGGTTTAGGGTTTAGGTTTTAGGTTTTAGGGTTTCGGGTTAAGGGTTTAGGGTTTTGGGTTTTGGGTTTAGGGGTTTAGGGTTTAGGGTTTAGGGTGTAGGATTTAGGGCTTTAGGGGTTTAGGGGTCTAGGGTTTTAGGGGTTTAGGAGTTTATAGGGTTTAGGGATTTAGGGTTTAGGGGTTTAGGGGTTTAGGGTTTAGGGGTTTAGGGGTTCATAGGGTTTAGGGGTTAGGGTGTATGGGTGTATAGGGTGTATAGGGTGTAATTATAGGGTTTAGGGTTTATAAGGCCTGGGGGCTGATAGGGTATAGGGCTTTCTTGGTTCATAGGGTATAGGGCTTAGGGCTTATGGGGAGAAAGGGTTGAGAGTTTGCAGAAGTTCATCGGGTATGGGTTATAGGGTTGAGGGTTTGGGGCCTACAACGAGACGGAGGAAGAAGGCAGGATTCACATCCCAAACATTCTAGCAACAGTCAAAGGCACTGGACCTCGCGACCATCGACTGTGCCCAGCGCACCACCCCAAGCACTCAGAAGCTCGAGACCAACCGCTTCAAAAGACAGCTAGCGCTGGGGGCCGTTTTGAGTACACTATTCGGCCTTACAGTATACTCATATAGGGCCCTAAACCCCTAAACCCTAAACCCTATATAGGGACTCTAGTTGCATTATTCCGGGCGAGGATCTAAGCTGCAAGCATCTTTGAAACCGCGAACAGATCAGCTTTATGCACAGTCATGGGATCCGCGAAGGGGCGCGGAGTTCGGGGGGGAGGGAGGGTACTGGGGAACCTAAGCCTTAGCGATCCTTAGGGGGGTTTAGGGTTCAGGCGATTCAGGTTTTAGGGAAAAGAGTGAAGAATTCTTGGGTTTAGGGTTACCCTAAACCCTAAACCCTAAATTGTACCACCCTTGCACCCCTGTCCCCTATAAAGGCCTACAGTGCAACACCCGAAGCCCCAAAGCCCTAAAAAGCCTAAACCCTAAACCCTAAAAGCCCTAAGCCCTAAACCCTAAACCCTGGAACCCTAAACTCTAAAGGCCCCAATCCCTGAAACCTATACTGCAGCCGGGAAGCAGATGCTGTTCAAGAAGCCAAGGAAGCTCTGCAGCAGTGGCAGCGTCTCGGAAGATTGTGTCCTGTGTAGACTTGTTGGGGATTTGGGATTTCGGGTTTAGGGTTTGGGATTTAGGGTTTAGGGTTTGGGGTAGAGGATTTTTAGGGCTTAGGGGCGTAGGTTTTGTGTTTTTAAGTGTAGTGGCCTTTTCTGTGCGATCCAGCCTGCCTCTGACGAGGCTTACACCGTAAACCCCAAAAAGGGGGAAAAGCAGTACCTCTTCCGCTCAGCCGTCGCATGGCAACATCAAAGCCAGCAGAAGGGCACAACCACACCACAGAGCCCACACTCGGAGTACCTACAGCCAAGCCCTCAGCAAGTTCGACCGCCACGAACTGGTTCACAAACCAACCGTTCACAACGAGGAGGTGGTGTGCACTCCAGGGCCAACATCATCACCTCCTTCCGGTTCCCGGCGCAGAACACCCTAGTGTAGGGGTTTAGGGATTAGGGTTTTAGGGATTAGATTTCGGGTGGTGTCCGTGAAATGATAAGGCCCAATTATGGTACTTGTCGTCACAATGCCGTACTCAGTCAGAGCTATCATGGAGGCCCGGCAAAATCATGATATTTTTCCTTACCCAACCTATACCAAAGTGGACAATTATTTAGAGAAACGGATTAGCTTTTCTTGGCTTTTGGGTGTCCAACAGGAGATCCTAACATCGACAAGCGCCCACAACGAAGCCCAGAAGTCTAAATAACAGGCGTTTTGTAGCATGGGGGGATTAGCTATTTGTGGGTTTCCCGTGCTGCAACTATGCTAGGGAAACGCAGGGAATAAGATCACAGATTATTCAGACCCCTCCATTATGGCCGCGACCCTACCTGGTAAAACGCACAACCCTCAACTCTAACCACCCTATGCCGTGAAACAAACATACCTTGCCAAATCCCTGGCTCCATGAAACCCTCGAAAACATGCTGATGGATCCTGGCGGAACTTGTATAGAAACCTAATGTATGGGCCTCAGGGTTTTGGGGTACTGTTCTAATTATAGCAAGGAACGCTAACAATAGTATTTGTCATTCTTTAGGCTCCTACATTAAAAGAAACTTGTGACACACTTTCTGCGCTGCGCGCAACCGAGGAGCTACCTGGGTACAAACTGGGTAGGAGGTTCCTTTTCCACAGGCCTAGCAGAGGATTACTTACTTACCTTCTGAAACCCTGAGCCCTAAACCCTAAACCCTATACGAACCCTAAACCCTAATTCCCAAACCCTAAACCCCCTGGCTCCCACCTCACCACCTCACCGATGCTTGCAAGTGGAGCTCCGTACCTTCCAAAAAAAAATCGGGTTTAGGGTCTAAGGTGTTTTTTGATGAGGTTTACAGGGTTTTAGTATGGGTGTAGGGTTTAGGGTTTAGGTAGTTTTCGATGAGGTTTACAGGGTTTTAGTATGGGGGAGCCTTAATACTTAGAAAAAGGCTTGCGGGTTTAGTTTCTTGGTTGTCGCATGTCTATACTAAACCCTAAACCCTAAACCCTAAACCCTAAACCCTATACAGGGGGTATGTAGTGGGGACATATTCCACGCAAGACGGACCACTGTCTTCATGTCGTGTTCAGTCTGAGGCCCAACACCCATTTCACCACACCGCTGACCCTAAACCCAGTCAGCCTTCAACTCCATAGACCCCCAAAGGCTGTCTGGTTTTAGGGTTTAGGGTTTAGGGTTTAGGGTTTAGGTTTTAGGGTTTAGGGTTTAGGGTGCTTAGTAGGGAATGGGGGGATGGATCCCTATGAAAGCCACTTAAGCTCCCTTATAGTAGTCCCTATAATCCATTCCCCCACCTAAACCCTAAACCCTAAACCCCAAACCCTAGACCCTACACCCATTCCCTACTAAGCACCAGACAGAAGGCCTGCAGCATGCGTCCGAAAGTTGGATTCCTGGCTTTTCTCTGAACATACGGCATACTGAACAGCTCCTCCCAAAATGCCTAGTTCCTCTGTTCCGTGGGCCGAACCTGATTAATATAGGGGCCCAAATAATTATCAGTACTATTTTGGGGGGGTTCCTTAGTATAGTTATGGTATAATATACCCCCAAAGCCTGTTCTAAACCCTAAACCCTAAACCCCAAACCCTAAACCCTAGCTATTAAGGCCCCTAGATTAAAACCCTTCAGGGCTTGAGGTTTAGGGTTATGGCCTCTGTGGATGCCATACCAGGGGACTTCGTAAGTAGATTTAGGGTTTAGGGTTTAGGGTTTAGGGTTAGGGGTTAGGGTTTAGGGTTTAGAGTTTAGGGTTTAGGATTTAGAGAAAAATAGAAGAGCGAGACGTCCCTGAATTACGGCTGCTGTACTCACAGCCCTACTTCTAGCGCCTCAAAAGCGTCCGCTGATCCTTCAAGTATCTACCCTTGCAGAAGCGGCTGCAAACTCTGAACCAAGAACCCTTTTAACCTTCTAAACCCCGAACCCCGAAGCCCTCAACCCTCACCCCTACACCTACACCCTAATCCCTACCCTAAACTCGCACCCCTAAACCCCCAAACCCGGAGTCCCGGTTGCCATCTTCCCTCCCCGGATACCAACAAACGATTCTGACACTTCCGGGGCCCTTCTATAGGACTTTTGTTTTCAAGTAGCAAGAACAATACGAACAATAGTCAGTATACCGTAGTAGTAAACATCACCGAGGTAGTACTAGTAACAGCAATAACAATAAACCCCAAACCCTAAACCGCCTTACCTTCTGAAGCTCTTCAAACCCGAAGCCCTAAACTCTTCAGTCAAGGCCAGGGCACATAGAAAAGGCCACGAAGATCCCGATCTTGCCGACGAACTCAGCGCCACCCTCGACGTACTTCGCATAAGCGAAAGCTAGCATGGAGAGCCTGGGCAAGGGTTTAGGGTTTATTTAGGGTTTTAGGGTTTAGGGTTTTAGGGTTTAGGGTTTAGGGTTTAGGGTTTAGGGTCTAGCATGGAGAGCCTGGGCAGGGATCCGTCGGCTGATGGCGTCGCACTACAGCTTACATAGGGTATGTTGTCACGAGAGTGAGAGAGAGTGATCCATCATGGAAGCTCATATAATATAACAGAAGCCCCTGCCCGAAAGTAATAACTTCTCCCATCGCTGGGTTTAGGATGCAGGGTTTTGTGGTGAAAGGCCTATCTTCGAGTGTTCACCCAAACCCAGAGATAACCACCTGATGCCGATAGATCGCTCACACACTGATTCCCGACACCCTGAACCCTAAACCCCTAGACCCCTAAAGTCTAAAACCCTAAACCCGTAAACCCCCGAACCCCAAACCCTACATTATGCTACCTAAAACCTACCGTTCTGTTGGGTCCCTATAAACTCCATCTACAGGGTTTGCAATCAGAGCCAACCCCAAACCCTAAACCCTAAAGTAAGTAGGCTCTGTAGTTTAGGGTACGACCCAACTGTAGCCCAAAGCCTAAACTCCCAGACCATACAATCCAACCTCAGGCCGAACAAAGTCTAAGGAAAGTGTGCAACCCTAAACCCCTAAACCCCTAAACTCCTAAACCCCTAAACCCTAAACCCTAAACCCCTAAACTCCTAAACCCTAAACCCCTAAACTCCTAAACCCTTAAACTCGTAAACCCCTAAACCCCTAAACCCTAAACCCGAAACCCTAACCCCTAAACCCTAAACCTCAAACCCTTAAGCCCTAAACCTCTAAACCCTTAAACCCTAAACCCTAAACCCTAAACCTTAAACCTCAGGCCGAACAAAGTCTAAGGAAAGTGTGCAACCCTAAACCCTAAACCCTAAACCTCTAAACCTCTAGACCCTGAACCCTAAACCTCTAAACCCTAAACCCTAAACCCTAAAACCATAAACTCCTAAACTCCTAAACCCCTAAACCCTAAACCCTAAACTCCTAAACTCCTAATCCTTAAACCCTAAACCCTAAACCCTAAACCCTAAACCCTAAACCCTAAACCCTAAACCCTAAACCTTAAGCCCTAAACAATCAGCCCAAGGGGCGCTGCTATGGCCAACGTTCCCAGGGCCGCTTTGCGGTCCCAGTCTTCTGCCTGCGCCTCGCTCGGGGGTTCTTGGGATTTAAAGGCTTGGGGTTTAGGGTTTAGGGTTTTGGGATTTAGGGTGTAGGGTTTAGGGCTCAGGGGTCTAAGGGTTTTGGGGTTTAGGGTTTAGGGTTTAGGGGTTTTGGGATTTACAGGCTGAGGGTTTTTAGGGTATTAGGGGGTTTTGGGATTTAAAGGCTGAGGGTTCTTAGGGGTCTAGGGGTTAGGGATTTAACGGCTGAGAGTTTTTAGGGGTTTAGGGGTTTTGGGATTTAAAGGCTTGGGTTTAGGGGTTTGGGGGTTGGGGGCTTTGGGCTGTAAGGGCTTAGGGGTTGAGGGGTTTAGGGGTTTAAGGGTTTGGGGGTTCAGGGGTCTCTGGAAGAGGACCGCTGCAGGCCATAAGGCCTTTGGTCCCAAGTTACATCAGAAACACTGCTCAACTATAACAACCACAAGGACTGCATCCTATAACCACTGCTGGTGGACCCATCCAAGCACCCACCAACAGGTGCTACAGGTACACAGACATCAAAACTGTCAGCGTAAAAAAGGGCCGAAGCTCGCACAAAGAACAGACAAAACTCGCGACACCAACAAGCACACAAAATAAAAGATCACAACAAAAGACATACTGACCCAAGGGGACAAAACACCACACAGGACTCACAGACACAAAGACGAAACACAACCCAGAAGACCAACACACAAAACAGAAAGAAATCACGCACACTCACTCAGAGGATCAACCCACAAGCAAACAACGACACAGAGACCAGAGACCGACAAGCACGAGACGGCACCAACACGCAAATATAAGGCGGACGTGCATTGCCTGAGCATTACCATCACGAGCATACCCGCGCACGCGCCCGGAGTAGCACTAGAAATAGACTGCGCGAAGCACTGCTTAACAGCACCACCCAGTCCTGACGGTACAGGACTCATAACAGCCGGACGGTACCGGTCTG